CTCCTGCTGAGATCAATAGGAATAACAGAATTAAGATGTGGAAAAGAAAACATTAAAAAAAACATGGACATTTTTCATGTGAGATTATTGCTTCATGTAGAAGTTCTATAAAACCAGACTCACTTGTAAATAAAACACCTACCTCAGAAAATCCCAATTGGATGGTTTTCATATCTCTGATGTCAGTGGTCCAGTTTTGTCTGTGTAACTTCACACAGTGCAGGAGCCTGCTCTGAAGGCTTGAACACTGTGAGGTAAATAAAGATGTCAGTTTGATACCTTTGGAGGCATTGGGCAGAGACACAAAGTCGACATGAAGCTGCTTTCCTTAGGAAAGGCACTTGGTACACTGTACTACAGATGAAGCCTCAAGACCTCTTTTAGAGTTGTTATTTTTGATATACCAATCTCTTCAGAGTCTTAGAGAATACACACAAAACCCTTCACTTTGCTACAGTAGCTGCTGAGTTTGAAAGCTGCCCTAAGTCCTGTGATCTGCCCCAGATACAGCATGACCCTTGTCTCTGCCAAACTAAAAGGAAAGCTATGTTGCCATCCACACCAGCACAACTGTACACACAGAGCATTTGGAAAACAATAGAAGAGTTTTCAACTTCCAAAACAGACCAAATCACAGGAGTTATTGAATTCAAGCTCAATGAGGATGACCAACTTCAGCGACTTTAATGATGTTTATTACATCATGCTTTACAAGAACAAACCTGTTGGTTTATCTTCAGCCTGCTGTAAGAAGGGCATGTGTAATGCTCTCAGGTATGAAGAGCAGGAGAAGTAGCTCTGTGGATGAGACTGTTTAATGATTAAGAGTTCCTCTGAGTTTGTTCCCTGTAGATTCCCACGCAGCAGCCTGCATTGCCCTGGCTTTCCCAGCAGCTGAGTAAAGCTGTTGCTTCCTTGTCTCCAGACCTACAATTCCCAGCACCCATTGCAACACACCCTGTCGGTGTGAAGCAATCCTCAGCTATGAACATGTAAAACGAAAATAAAGATTCTTCAAAAGTCCTTCAGCTTTGCTCATGACTCCTTCCCCTAACCCTCAGCTCACCCCCACAACTCCTATTATTCATGGCATGGGGCTGAAACAGTGAGCTAGTTTATAGAATTCTAGCAGCATGTCCTTGCAATCAAAACACTGGCAGAGAAAAGGAGCAATAAATCAAAGAGGGAAAACAACTTAGAAAAATATTTGTGCTGGAACACATTTTAAGGACATAGGTGATTCATGCAGGGAATGAAAAGAAAGGCACAAGACAGTGATTAGAAATGAATTTGAATTGAAAAATACTCAGCTGAAAAGCCTGAATTAAGAACCTGCTGAGTGCCAGAGAGAGCTTGGAGACATGGTGTGTGTTACTGAGCTTTTTGCATTAGACAATTAAATGAAGCAATTAGATTTCAAAAAGTAGCCAATTATTTTAGGAACAAAACAAATGCTGGAGGAAGTAGAGCTGCCTGTGTGTGGGGAATGGAGCAAAAGGAAACCAAACATTGCATTTGAAATATTCACAATAACCAATTTGTATAAGAGGAGTTTGAATTAAAAGTCTAGAAAACTTCTTTTAAGTCAGTAATGAAAATAATGCAATTTCAAAAGAAAACCACATTAATATGTGAATATAATTTATAGCTTAAAAAACCATATGACATGGCAAGCAAGTCCTGAAAGAGACTGAGAAGTGACATGGAAAAACAATCCTCCAAAGTGAGAATTCTCCTGAGATGGCACTTTTAACTCTCTACATGTTTTGATGTGCTGTTTTCTCAAGGCTGTACGGAAGCAAGACTCTCAAGAGACCGAAAGGAAAACGTTTTAGTATTCCTCACAGGCACATACTCTTGCAGAGCATCCTAAAGGATTTGATGAAATGGGTAATTAAGTTATTTGTCTTACTCATTCACAGCTTTTAAGTGCAGCTAACACCTCAGTGCTAGGATATCCTCCACAGAACACTGAAGCTTCTATCAATTTAACTTCTGAACACATCCTCTAAAAGCCTGACCAAGCTTCGAGTGAACTGGAAGCTATGCTTTTAATTAATGATAAATCAAACACAACATCCTTAGCGCAGCAGGACTAGCAGAGGAACAAGGAAGGAGGGAGCCTCAGGCCTGTCCCCCGTGCACGTGCTGCACTGGGACTCAATCCTAGGCTCCTGAGGGCTGGCAGGGAATCTTTTCTTTCTTACACTTCCCAGAGTAACAGCATTCCAATGCTACTGCTGCTAGGAAAACTGCAGCCTGCTTAGCACTTCTGAGAAATTCAATGACAAAGCTTTTTGTCTTTAATGTCCCAAGAAGGACACTGGTAACATAATGCCTGTTCAGCACCACTCCTTGCTCTAAAAGTGTCCTGAATGTTTAGCTTCTCCCAATTAGAGATCTCATCACAGAGATCATCATAGAGATCTCATCATAGAGATCATAGAGATCTCATCATAGCAATCCCAGAATGGAAGAAAAACAGTTCTATTTCCTTTGATTTTTATAAGAAGTACTTTAATGAAATGTACGTAAAATTATACAATACAAAACGATAATTCCAGTTATAAAATGTGAGTCCTAAGGATTACATTTTAAAAGATTGCCAACTAGATCAGAAAACATTTCCTTACAAATTGCACCCTTGTCCCTTATCCTTCCTCCCAATAAAAGGTTTTTGTTCCCTTTGTTTCATTTGATTTTGTTCTCACATAAACAACTTTTTAATCTCTAATAAAACCAGCTTTAATTGGCCCTGAGGTACTGCACAGATTGATGCAGTCTAGGTCATTGCTTTCGTATGCAGTAAAACATCCACAACATTCAAATCCTTACAGAAACAAGAGGGTTTTACCTTCTGAGGCAGAATATTTCTTGTAGCTGACAAGTGCTTGGCTACAAGAAGTTATTTTGACTGATCCCTAAAATATTCTGGTTCTATGCAGTAGGCAGCATACTCCTTTCTATATTCCTGATAAATCTCTCTTCTGTGAACCAGAAGACTTATTAAAAGTGGGTAAGAAAAACACATTCCCAGAGGGATTGAACTTGGAGCTGCTGCAGAGCTGTTTCACTGCACACAACTCATCATGCTCCCTTCACTTCTCTGCTCTGCTCACAAGGATTGCTTAGAGGCACGAAGGAAAAAAGTCAAAGCAAACCTTTTCTGTAGATACTGTAGAATGAAGAACTGTGTCTGTTACACAAAAACCTCCAAAACATCTAAGCTGGTCATTTAGCTGAAGTGCAGCTAATTACAAAGATACTGAGAATTAACATGGGTTGGAAGGGACCTTAAAGACCATCTAGTTCCACCCCCTGCCATGGGCAGGGACACTTTCCACTAGATCACATTGCTCCAGGCCCCATCCAACCTGCCTGGAATACTTCCAGGAATGGGGAGAAGAATCATTTAAGTAAAAAAACTTAATGAACAGGTTTTTCTGTCCTGTGGACTTACAGCAGTTTCCAGTAACTACAATTGTAGTGTACTCAAGTGTCACTGTTAAGAGGCATCAAAAAACAGAGAGGCACCAAAAACTTTCAAACTGTCAATGTCACCACATCTGTGCAGAGCAGTGACACATTACAAGCTCACGCTCAGCCTGCACAGGTATGGCACCATGTAAAAAGAACTTGAAAGGAGCTGAAAGTCACACAGCTACAGTAGCAAAAAAGAAACCTCTTCAAGTATCCAGTTAGCAGTTAGGAGGATGTTTGCAGTAACAAACAATCCCATTTGTTCAAGCACTAAGTATTTCAGAGGACTATTGCCCTCAGCACAGGGGATGGTCCTCAGAGGCCTCTACAGTCCTGCATCACTTGAAGCTTGTTCAATTTTTCCAGCCTTGGGTTAGGTGTGAAGGCCATTCCAAATTAAAGCTGAGAACCGAATCTGGTCTTGTTCATAACTTTCTTTCCTCTGTGAGTTGCTGACAACCACTTTCAAAATCATCAAGCAATTGGAGTGAATTATAAAACTGAGGAGGACTTGGAAGAGCTATGAGATCTGGAATGATCTTTGAGGAGAACAAACTGGCAGGACTGCTGATCTTCACAGGATATTGCTAGAGAAAAGTCTGTGATATAGAATTACCCTCAGTAGGGTTTCACACCCCTCCGGAAGAAGGTTTGTGGTACAGTACACACTTGTGCTACCAAGAGCTGAGCTGCACCTTCCAGCAGACATGAGCTGCCTCTGGGACACAGGTTATGAAAGAATTCCCAGAAAAGAATCCTATAGCACTCACAGCTTTAAAGAGAAGCTGCTCTGAACATCTGTGAGACAAACAAAGTCTTTGATAGTTTCAGGGGAACACTTCTTTCAGGATGATGAAGGCACTTGGTGCTGATGTTTGATTTCAATGAGTTCCATTTTCAAACCTGGGCAGATTTTTGCCAAGAAAAAGCCACTACAGTGTACAATATCCTTCTTGCACTGCAATCTTGGAGTCTGAGGTTGCAGCCACCTTAGTATCCTTTGACAGAGGGCAAACGTGTTCAATAAATTATGGAAGATAACACCTTATGCTACTCAGAAAGAAAACCCAGTACACAGCTAAAAGGTTTACTTCTTCTCCCTTTCACACTACACTTACAAGAAGCCACCAAAAAAACCCAAGATCCAACCTCCCCAAGAAATTTCACATTGCAGTTGCCTCAGAAGTGTCCCATGGATGTATTTCCAGACAAGATATATCTGAAGAGTACCTGCAGTAAAGCAAATCTTCTTCTCAGGTTGGTGGTAGAACAAAAGTGTGAGAATTTCTACAAAATGGAGTTCAGGTCTTCTAAAAGTAAAAATATCTTCAAGGAAGCACCACACTACAAAGCATTACCTGAAAGCAATCTGTTTGCATGCGAATTTTCATCAGACCACAAACCAACTTATTAAGGCATAGAAAGCAACCAGTGATAACAGTGATAACGATTTTGGTTCAGAAGAGAAGGCACTGTTTTCACCCACGTCTCTGGGGCACGGAAGTGTCTTTATATTGCTTTCATGTGTTTCCAGTGTTCAGGTGTGAGATCTTCTCTTCAACTATATCAGCCACCAGGTTCAGGTTACAGCCCCGCAGAGCTGCTATTAAGTCAGTCACCTTTGCATCTTTCCCCTTCACCTTCTGCCAGTGCCGCAGTCCCTGAAGAAGCTGCTCATAGAGGCTAAATCGATGAGCTGCCTCTATCCTATCCAGCTGCACATCCGACAGGCCAAGTTCTCTCATCAGCCTCTTCCACTCCCGCCCAACATTGTCACATATGACGTCAGTAGCTGCCTTCAGAAGGCCTGAAACAGCAGAAAGATAGCAGGTTAGTGATGGGTTTACCAAGAAATACAAGAAAACCTTTAAAAGTTGTGGGGTTTTGGGGTTGTCTGGTTTTTTTTAAGCAAAACGCTGCTGCTCTTGCTGCATTGCACATACTGCAGGAGTCACAGCACGTTCTGAAAAGCCACCGGATGTAGTTGGAATCCCAAGTACATAACGCGATTTCCCAGGGACCATAAATAAAGAGAAGGAAGAAGTTCCCACCCCGGAAAGCCCTTTGTGGACACATTGACTGCGGCTGCTGGGGAGGACGGGGGATATATTAAAAAAACACCTACGTTTCTGATGCGGATCTGGTTGATCATCGCAGGCACTAAGCTCTCCTTCCTCTTCGAACTGCTTGACCCGTAACACCAGATCTCCCCTTTCGATGCGCTCAAGCATCTTCCTTAGGAAGCTCAGGTTGTCGTTGGTGATCTCCTGCTGCTCCATCAGGATGGTGAAGAGGTCCATGCCGCTCTGCACCGACTCGAGCTTCCGCTTCTTGATCTTGTCCTGGCAAAGGAACTTCATGTTGGACAGCTCGCTGGCAGACAGGCTGGACGAGATGGAGAGCAGCAGGCTCAGCAGCGGCAGCGGACCCGCGGTGCCGGGGGCCGCGGCAGGCTGCGGGCCGAGCTCCATTCCCGTTCCCAGAGGTTTTCCCGAGGCTGCAGACAGACAGACAGAGAGACCGACAGACAGACAGACAGACAGA